ACGTTCTCAGTTTACAAGTCGATTTTTTATATAAAGAACATTGGATGTTAACCTAAATCATTGTTAATATATTTATCTGGCCATAACCAAAAACGGATGATTATATTCTCTTTTATGTTCTCCTTTTTCTCGAATAATTCTAGGTTCCCTTAAATTAACGTTAATGTGTTCCTGACCAGCGTCACTGAAGCACTTTCCAGGTACATAATTTACATTCAAACAGGATAATTGGATCATTATTGAAACTTTTACTATTTATTTTCTTATTTTTTAGTACTACCGAGTTCTTTAATCCTCATTCAATTTCCCCGTATACATGCGTACGCTTAATCTATGGAAAAATCATTTCACCAATCACGTATTTTTTCTGGCACCAATTATATCTTTTAATATTTTTTAAAAAAATGTTAAGCCATTGTATCTAGGAACTAGGAAGTTGAATCTTGAATGGTATTTTCAAACAAAGACTATCTCATCTCAAAACTAATGAGAAAATCATTCATAAAACTACCCTGCTTATGTTATGTGATTATGTCGTTGCCATAAACACTAAAATGACATCATTTTTGTCCTCTTCCCCAAAAATTTCGATCGAAAACCATTTTTGTCGAAACTGCTATTAATTCTTTTGAGAAAAGGTTTCGGGTTTTCCCTTCTCTTTTTTCATCTGTCAAATATTAATGTATAAAAGAAACAAAGTAAGAGGAAAAAAAAGAGGGACGTCAGCCGTCACATGACGGGAGGAAGTGACCAAGTGGACAGGAATAGAAGAAAGAAAGGCTCGAGAAAAGAGACAAGGCGCCGTTAGCGAAGTAACGGAGAGAAGAGGAAGATAGGTCCCACGATGGGTCTGAGTGTAACCATCGTCCAAAGTGTCTTTGTATTATTCGACAAAATATCCATACGGTCTCGTTTCTTTGCTTCAAATCAAACTAACCTTACTTCTTCTCTGGATTAAGGCCACAACCATTAAACTCAATTCCACAACATCATCAGTTTATATGTGTAACACACATTTTAGATGTAAAATAATTTAGAAAACAAATCATCTAACATGTCAGAATAGACAAGACTCACGACCATAAAAACATACTCCCTAGAATTAATAATCTAATAATCTAACCAAACATACAATGAACTAGAAAAAGAGAGTTGTGAATTATTATTTTTTTGAATATGAAAAGAGAAATATATCATAAATTCACCTAAAATTAGTAGAAGGAATCTAACGCTTCATATGTTTCATACTTCCTCCAACCCGTTTCCTAATATAAGTCGTTTTAGCTAAAAACACGCCGATTAAGAAGATATGTTTTTTTAATTTCAGCCAATCATAAAAAAAACTGCATAATATAAATAATTATAAAATAATATATAATTTGTATAGAAACTTGAAAACGACATATTGTGAAACAAAAAAGTTTGACGAAAACGTATTATATTATGAAATGGAGAGAACATGATTTAAACCGTTGTCCTAAAAAACAATAGATTGTAAAAAAAATTATAAAAAAATTAAAAATATCGAAAGAAGTCTACCACATTTCTCTGGTCTAGTGAAAAAAAACAGTTTCGATTATCCCGTAAATAAGTAAATACTATCATGTTCATTGTGCATTGTGAGATATATCGAGTTTCTATGAACTTATCGTTGTCACAAGAACTAATGATTGTGTAATGATTATTATTTCGTGGACCAACGTATTTTCATTATCTTATTAATTAGTGCCTATTATTATACTACTAATTTTTTTCCGGAAACGAAGTTTGATTTGTTGAGAAATGAGATATTATTGTCTCTTTGCCTTTTCCTAATCACCATATAAACCGTTTTCCTTTTATATAATACAGTACATCATACGAAAATGTTATGGGACTAGATTTTACCCCGCGGTACACCGCGGGTCGATTTTTTTATAACTAAAAAATTATTTAGCAATATTTTATGTTGTATTTGTTTTGTTAATATTGTTTATTTTGTTTAGTGTTTCTCATTTTATAATTAAATTTTGATTTTTAATTCTAAGATTTCATCCATGGTATATTGTTTAATATTAATATCGATATAACCCCGTTGCACCATATAACCCCGTTCCGTAAAATTAAACATCATTTGTTATTTTTTTGGAATAATATTTTTATCCACTACGGGTCGCAGGTTCGCCCGTAGAGAGTTGCGGGTTTGCGTGTCGACCCGCCAAAAGAGAAGCTATCTTTTGAAACCTTTTGTTTTATTTAGAGGTTTTGAGAAAGTATCCCTAAAAAATAATTTTCATTATATGAAAAAAAAAAGAAGTAGAAGAAATTGTAATATCAACATTCCCGATTTTTACATCACTCGTTACTATTAATTTTTTTTTTTGCAGATAAAAATCAGAAGTTAACTAAGTCGAAATTTTTTAAAAAGATTGTGTAGAGATTTTTGGTAAATTGTTGATAACATATTTGATTTCAAAATCTTTACTTAAATAGATAAAGAAAGATTTTGTAGAGACTTTTGCTAAATATATGAGAAATGAATTTCATTTAAAAATCTTTACTTAAATAAAACAAATCTAAATAATTAATGCTAATGGCATGCCATTGTAAATACTTATCAACTTCAGGATTTATTTGCTAATTGTGATCCAAAAATGTATATATAGATTCCTGAATAAATTACGTGGCTCGAAGTTAATTTGCTCATCTAGGGTTTGATGCTTATAGTATAGACTGTAGTGGTGCATACAATAATCTATTTCACGTTATTCACTCATTTTAAAGTCTGTTGTCTGAGAAATTTTATACCACATTTATTACAACTATGTAATTTTCAACGTTACTAAAATGATGTTTTAAAGTATATGCATAGAAACTTGTTAAAACGATAACACATACTTAGTGTATTATACTATTGGTTTATGGTTCGAAAAACCTAAATTAGTGATACTATGGTCGAGAAGTTGTTAGAATTTCACAGCGAGTCGATTGTGAAAAATCTATATGAGTAGTTTATCTCTACATGTTACCTGATAAACTAGCACATTTTAACTAGAGTGTGTATATATATATATATATATAATGTATAGCATTGAGGTTGGACAAAAACTGTATAACATAGAGGAGGCAAATAAAAAATGAAGGGAAAGACAAGACAGAACAAACGGGTACATGGTTCACATACCCTGCGAATCAAATTGTTGCGTTCTTTGGCAATATAGCATGGGCTTCCAATATCTCTTCTCTATACACTCACATTATATTATCAATACGTTTATATACATTTATATAGTCAGAACTCAGAAGATAACAGTTACAACAATACGATCAAAAAAATAATCTTTCATTCTGTATAGTAACATCTGTTAATTCTCATTAGTGAATATGTCTGTCTACATAAGATAGAAAAGTCGAAGCTGCATAGTTGACCATGGGTCAAAGTGTTTAAAACGATCAAGATTTTTTTTTTACTTTACTGGAGAAAGTAATTTCATACTCCCTCCGTTTTCGAATAGTTGACGTTTTAACTATATGCATACAAATTAAGAAACTATTAATATTGTTAGTTTTTCAATATAAAATATCATTAATTATCTACCTAAACATAATTTAACTAATAGTAAATCAAGTTGCATAATAAAAATAAATATAAAAAATAAAAAAGTAATAAATTTTGCATTGAAAACTGAAAACGTCAACTAATTAAAAACAAAAAAGTTTCTTTAAAACGATAACTATTCGAAAACGGAAGGAGTATTCTCTATTTAATTTGCCTCTCAAGAAATGCCAAATATGCTCGTTTTTAAAAAAAATGTCAGTGAATTAAAGTTTACTCGCATAAAAATCTGTAGCAAATAACATAAAATTATTAAGAGTATTAATCACAATTAAGAACTAATACAATGATTCCAAAAAATTACTGTACTTTTTTTTGTGTGTGTGTGTGGCGCAACGTCCTAGATTGTTGTCTGCCACGTTAACCACACAGCTGTAATAACTAAAAAGTGGCAAGGTTGTGACTGGTAAAGGTTAAAACAGTAAAGGACTACGAACCGTAACGGTCTTTTGTCTTGCTTTTTTTTCACAACGCAACTTGCTTTGTGATATGACGAAACTATCCCTGTGGTGAAAAAGAGAACTTCGCACGGAGGTTTTTAGATTAAAGACTTAATCACCTGCCGTTAATTATTAATTAATGGTTCTGGTCAAAAGTGAGACTGGACCGTGTCTCCGGTGTCACGTGACCTGAATCTCCAATTACGAGGAAATTTTTTAAAAATAGTTATAGAAGTAATTAATTATAGAAGTAATCTACATGTTTTCTTCTCTTTGTCCGCTGCCCCATGGAAAGGCACGTCCCAGCCGTTGGTGTAATTACACGTGTCGATATCTCAATCGTTTGACTTATGCGGCATTTTGGTATTGCCATGCCATTGCCCAAGCTCTTTTTATCCGGCTTTAATTTTGTCAAATTAGTTTTTGCTAAAAATCAGTCAAATTAAGATTTCATTCTAATTTTTTAAAGACAAATTTCCTTGGTCGGCACTAATATCTGATTATCTACCATTAATGTCATGATTGTTACTGTATTTGCGTTACAAACTAATAATTACTGTCGACACATGTTGTAGTTCATGGTTTTGTTTTTTATCTAGTTTTGTCTCTAAGACTCAAAATTTCAATTTCAGTTAAATGTACGTTTGGATTGTAACAAGCATAGTTGTGACAATTGTCTTTCATTCATTTGAAATCACCAACAAAAAGTTTTAAAAAATCTCTAAACATATATGACATCCCTGTCTTCTTCTATATATTTCTAACAGTGCTAGGAAATCCATTTTCTTGTACATTAGATAATTTATATATGGAACATTAAACCCAAAGTAGTATATTAGACCGATAAACAAAGATTGATGAAAAAAAAAAAAAAAAAAAACAAAGAAAAAAGAGCTAAGATAAATATCTTTGTGAAAAGTTTTTTGTAAAGATATTCGAAAAGAAAATTAAATACAAAAAAAAAAAAAAGAGGAGTAAAAAAACACTAGAGACGTTTCAAGATCCTATAAAATAGTCTCTCTCTACCATTACTACATGTGCTCTGCCGCTTTTAAATCTCTCATCTTCTTCCTCGTGTCACTCTTTCTCTCACACTCTGCAAAACATTTTCTTGTCTCTCTGCCCAAATTTTTATTTTCCAGGAATATTTCCTAGAAAAACCCAAGCAAAGCTATTAATCCCTTCCTCCCCCAAAAGTAGCATCTTCCTCTTTTTTTTTTTCTCCTTTCATCTCCTTATCTCTCTCTAGTTTGTGAACGATTCCTTAAGAATATAACTAAAAGCTCTTTTCCCCTTTCTTCAACTTTCCGGGAAAATCTTCACGCAGCAAGGTTTCTCCTCTCTCGCAGTGTTTTTCGTGCCTTTTAGTTCTTTCTATAAAAAAAAAATTCGCGTCCTTTGAGAAAACTTTTTTTTCCAGTATCACTCTTGCTGTTCAAGTTTCTTCTTTTAAAAAATTTATCTTTATTCTTTGTCTTCTTTCCTTTTGTTTTCTTCTTTTTGCTTTCCCCAATCTCTATGTTATAAACACACAGAGAGAAACAGTCACAGTCTTGAGTTAAAAAAAAAACAGAGAGAAAAAAAATGGAAGCGGAGAAGAAAATGGTTCTACCGAGAATCAAATTCACAGAGCACAAAACCAACACGACGACAATCGTACCGGATTTAACCAACAATCACCAAACCAGGGTTCTTCGTATCTCAGTCACTGACCCAGACGCTACTGATTCCTCAAGCGACGACGAAGAAGAAGAACATCAGCGGTTCGTCTCTAAACGCCGTCGTATCAAGAAGTTCGTCAACGAGGTCGCTCTCGATGCTGGTGGTGTTACTGGTAGTTGTAGTCAAATGGAATCAGAGAAGAGACAGAAGAGAGCTGTGAAATCGGAGACTGCTGTTTCTCCGGTGGTTTCAGCGACGACGACGACGACGACGACGGAGAAGAAATTCCGAGGAGTGAGACAGCGTCCATGGGGAAAATGGGCGGCGGAGATAAGAGATCCGTTGAAACGTGTACGGCTCTGGTTAGGTACTTACAACACAGCGGAAGAAGCTGCTATGGTTTACGATAACGCTGCGATTCAGCTTCGTGGTCCTGACGCTCTCACTAATTTCTCAGTTAGTCCGACGACGACTGAGAAAAAACCCCCACCACCTTCTCCGGTGAAGAAGAAGAAAACGAGCAAAGTCAAAAAATCTGTTACTGCTTCTTCCTCCATCAGCAGAAGCAGTAGCAACGACTGTCTCTGCTCTCCGGTGTCTGTTCTCCGATCTCCTTTCGCCGTCGACGAGTTCTCCGGCATTTCTTCACCACCACCGGCGGCGGTTGTAGTCAAGGAAGAGCCATCGATGACGACTGTCTCAGAGACTTTCTCAGATTTCTCGGCGCCGTTGTTCTCAGATGATGACGTGTTCGATTTCCGGAGCTCAGTGGTTCCCGACTATCTCGGCGGCGATTTATTTGGGGAAGATCTATTCACGGCCGATATTTGTACGGATATGAACTTCGGATTCGATTTCGGATCCGGATTATCCAGCTGGCACTTGGAGGACCATTTTCAAGATATTGGGGATCTATTCGGGTCGGATCCTCTTTTAGCTGTTTAATAATATTTTAAATAAATAAATAGTATTACCGGCCGTTACTAAACGGAACCGGAGAAAGTTTTGTATACCGGTGAAATATAATCTCGGTTATGTTCTTTTAATCTTGTTTTTTTTTTTTAGTAATTTTGTTATATAAATCAAATGTAGTTAATGATGGTGATATTAATTAATTATTATTAAGGTTTAAGTTTTTTAAAAAAAGTTCCGTCTGTTAACAGTAATGGGAGGTCGAGTTTTCTTTTTTGCTTCCACGTGCTCTGCTCTCTTTATCTCTTTTTTTAATTTTGATCGACTGAAAAAATTCCTTCATTTTTGCTTTATTTGATAGTATAAAAATTTGCTATTTTGTTGTTGTTGTTGTTGTTGGTAAAGGCACGTGGATCTCACGTGAAGAGAACAATTGAAAAGCTTTAGCTAGTTTTTGTTTTCTTAAGGCTAATCATATCATTTTTAGAAACAAAAAAGGCTAATAATAATTTATTGTTACACGATTACAAGCTAATAAACCCAAACAAATGCAATAAAAATAGTGTGAGATGCCTAGTAGATTGAGACTAGATACGAAGAAGGAGAATCTAAGTTGATTTGAAATATGGCACATCATAAAACAAATATTTTGGCAGTTTATATATCCACATGAAAATGAGAAAAATATACAATCTCATGAGGATTTAATGAAAGAGGCAGTTGGGGTAGTTGATTTGTCTAGACTCTAGAGCACTTCAATCTCACTCTGTTTACCAGTTTTATAAAAAGTACGATGTAACTATGGTCGTATTGTTATGCACGCAAAAATCACATTTACTTTATAGTTTTATACTAAGCCATATTTTGTAAATCTAATGGTCCTGCATAACTAATGTATGTTCATAATTGCTTTTTGTCCTTATATTGTTTCATTGTTATTTAGGAATAGAGATGTTACGATGGGTAAAGCTGGTCCATGCCTTGGTTTGTTCCGATCTGGTCTTGATTTGGCCAGCGGATCCCAAGTGAACCATCAATTGCAAAATGTTACTACCTGTCTATGTCAATATCTCTGTTCAGGCTCGGGCCAGCTTGCTTTTGGTCCACCACACCATGGTCTTATTTAAGGGTTGATAGAGCTTGTATGATCAATACCTTTTTGGTGTGATTCTCGAAGAATTGTTGAGATGATTTACTTTCTTTGATACATTGCTGCTTGGCTTGTGTTTTTTTTTTTTTTTTTTTTTAAATTAGTTAGAAAAATTATAATCCAATGGATTGTTTTTGTAAGAAATTAAGGTTATTGTCTCACGAAGCAAGTAGTGTTGGACCTAGATGGATGATAATGGTGTCCATCTTGGCCTCTATTTCAGCGGCTTACTAATTTTCCTAAAAGAAATTAGCCACTTTGTTTTCACTCCTAAATTTTTACCACGTTTCATTAAAACTTTCATAGAGAGTGTGTTGTTTTTTTTTTTCTTTGACAACAAACCTTTAGTGTTTTGTTCAAATACTACATTAAGGATTATGACGTGTTAATTTATTGGGTTTTCTTTTATAAAAAAAATAGATAATAATTTTTGAAATCTACGTAAACAGTTTAAATCGACATTGGTCATTAAAAAGATTGAAAATACAGAGGAGGAGCAGGGAAAAGAACTGACGACACGTAGGCTAGAGCCGCAACTACTCGAGGAAGAGCATTGTCGTGTCGCTTTCGTTAAATACTACTCATGTACTACAATTCTCGGGCCTTTTTAAAAAACTTTTTTTTTGGGTGCATATAAAATGTGAACTAAAATTCATACTAAGAAATTAAATATTTCCGACAATCACAGAATTAACCATGCAAATGCAACTTGCTGATTTTAGAGTATAATATTTTACGAGCAAGAAAATAAATAGGTATCGAAACGCTTCAAATATTAATTACGTACACAATTCAAAGAAGTACGGCTATTAAGAATCTAGATGCATACTATATTTTGTAATATGTAGATACGAAAATTGCTAAGTATTAAATAGTTTGGGCCCCTCTTCCCAAAATGTTCATGTGAATTTCGTGATTATTCATGCATACTCATCAATATAATGTCCATTCTATAAAATACTACATTTTAATCTTCTAGCTATATAAGTATTTTAAGAATCATCAAGAGAAAGAGAACATTAAGATTTGAATCAAATTAAGCAATTTGTTTTTTACAGTGATTCTCTAAATTGATAATTTAAATCTTGGGTGGGTTCAAACTTCAAATATTGGGCCGGGGTATTAAAGAGGTTTGTTGCATTTATATTTCGTTTATTCAAAAAACAAAAATAGTAAAAATTCACAAGACTTTTCCAGTGCCCTTTCCTAAATTCGTAAGGCTTGAAAATGGTCATGGCCCATAGAGATATATATGCATGCATATACACAATCATACATAAGTATATGTTTTGCGGTGTCCCCTCATGCAAAGATTTTGTTTGTCACAAAATTCCAGAGCTCTTTTGCAAGATTTATGCCAAAAGATAAATGGGGACCTTTCATGAGAGATCTTCTGCGTGATTTTCTAATTATACTTACTTTAGAGAATATATCATGATAAACAAATCTTTGTGACACATTCAACAGTATATCTGATACTCGAAAGATAGAGAAGTAGAAAAATTACAAGGTAAGAAAAAAACAACATGGTAAAAGCAATCCTAACCATTCACGTCATGACATATATGATCTAACGTTCTTTAACTGAGCATTAACGACCATGTTAAGAGACCAACTACGATGACGCGTCTCAGATATGAAAACGGTACGGCTTTGGATCCCGTGGTCCATCGAATCTTGACCGTCCACTTGGGTAGGGGCGTAATACCTGTTGGGCCATTGGATAAGCTTTTGTCTAATGGTGGAAATTGAACCAAGTGGCTATTAGATCTTGAGAGTTATTGCTAAACCAATTTGTGAACCGGATCAAACCAGGATTCTGTTATCTGTACCGATCAACGACTGTCTTGGCCAAAAGGACATGGTTTCAAACTTTCAACGGATGTTTGACTTCTTACTGGTAAAATATCCAGTTGACCTTTCCGTATACATTATGCCTTATTCCGTATTTTTTTCCGTATTTTAGTTTGGTCTTGTCTATCATCAGCCATTATATGTCTTTCTCGTCCATTTTCACTGATTTATAATTTATATTCAAAAAGGCTGACACCACACCATAGTGATCATCTTGACTGAGATTTAGTAGAGATGTACATACGTTTTTGAAATGTTTTAAGAATGAAATTTCCAATTTTTTGTTATATTATAGTTTCCAAGTTTTTCCCAATAATTTAGTAAAACCCATGCTATGATACGATATATAGAATTAGTTTTAGTCCAGCGACATTCTGATATAATCAAATTTTGACATATATAATTATGTGTGTATGTGGATATTGTACATATACATGGTCAAGATATGCATAATCAACCGTACAAATTAGATGCATTAACATATATAGAGAATGTGCATAGTAAAAATACATGTGGAATAGAAGTGAGTGAGACAGTGTCTCATGAAAAGTGGCAGAGACACATTAATAAATACATTAAAAGAAGGACCAACAAAGAAATTAAATGATGTCTAATTCAATTTCATATTTCACGTACCATTCTCGTGCCATTCCCATGCACTTAACATGTTTGCTCTGCCTTCTCCCTTTTAATTTTACTGAACTAACCCTCCAACTACTTTTTCGGTTATCTCTCCATAATGTAAACAATCTAATTTGAGTTTGAATATTGTACCATCGGTGTTGTAACGTTACTAGTTTTGTGACGATGGTCACGGCTTTAGTAACATCATAAATATCCTCAAGAGAGTTTGTGTGTTTCCTCTGTACGAATCGGTGATCATCTAGCTAGCTATTACTAATCGGCTTTCGAGAAAAACTAATGTTAATATCAGAGGTTTACCACATCGTCAATCATTAAAAATTCTAGTGACGATTGACCATATACAAATATGCAAATCAAACTAGCAAACATATGGGAAGCCTTTAAATCACTTAATCCACACAATCATCAAAAGGATACATAGTTTTAGACTTTGACTCCAGAGCTATATATATTAGAAACAAACATCTTTAGGTAGCAAATAATTAAAACCAAAAAAATAATCTTTAGGTAGCGAATAAATTTGAGATCGCTTTAGTGATTGTTCAAAAACAAAATCAGATAGTGGTCGTTACAAAGTAAACAGTATGGGCTAATAATTTGAACAAAGGTTTAAGTGAGCTTAAAAAGGGCTTCCTTGGGTGAACAAAATGGGCTTTTATGGCCCATTAAAGATTTCGTTCTTTTATCGTCCTGCGATCATGGTTGATCCGTCTCACCGGCAACATCGCCTACTCTTTAGGGTTTATACCTTCAATGGAGAAACAGAGTCCTAAGCCAGTTTGCGGCCAAGAGGCTCTCCAACTTCTCAATTGCGTCACGGAGTCTTCTTTCGATCAAGAGAAATGCCTCCGATTCTTGCAATCTCTCAGAGAATGCGTTCTCTCAAAGGTTAGGTTTATGGCTCTCTAATGACTGATCTACTAGCTCGCGATTCAATTTCTTACAATTTAGTCGATTTTCAGTGGTTTGGAATTTACACCATCTGATTCAGTACTTTCTCCTCATTGTTTCTTGATACTTTTATGTTTGATTTCTAACATGGATTCTTAACTAATGAACTCTTTCTATTTCTTTATTGAGGTTTTTTTTTTCTTTTTGTTTTGAACAATGAATGTTACAGAAAGTAAACAAGTTCTCGATACCGAGTCAAGACCAAGACTCTGAGGGAGCAGCTTCAGCTACAACGAGACCTTCATAACGTTCTTTGTTTCGATTTATTGTAATGCCTCGGGCTCATAAGTTGGGTCATGTCACCTTTGTTGTCTTGTATGTTGCATATTGCAGGCACTAAAGAGCATATATATTAGAAGAAATAAATGTTTCTACATTTGACTTACCATCTTATTTTGGCTAATCTTTCATTCGCTTTCGCTAACTTATTCAAATCATCTGTTGCAAACTTCTTCTATACTACCGAGTTATCGATTCCTTCCGCAAAAATCATCTTTTTCATGTTCTCTGCTACTTCCATTGATCGGATTCTCTTATTGCTCATTATCTTCAGATGTCATTAAAGAACACGGAAGCAGATTCAATCAATATAATCAACAAGCTTGTCACTTATTTCTTATTATGGAATTATCTGGAAATAGATTTAAGCTGGAAGCTGCTTCTCTTACTATCTTATTATGTCAAGGCTAAATTCACTTACCATACCAAACTTTCATGTCTTGATCTCCTAACTCCGAAATAACAAGAACAATGCAACAGGAACTACTAACTTATAAGGATTTGAAATTTCAGTATCACCACTTCTGACTCTCTGCTTCTCCATCTCCAAAATTGATTTCAGATCTTGATCAAAGAATGAAGTGATCCTGATGCGATGAGTTACTGTGTCTTTGGTTTTCTTCATCGTCGTCACTAATCACCATCGCATCTGCTTATAGATTTAGTCAGAGAACATGGTTAAGTTTGTCTAAAGCTAAAACCCACTAAAACACAATAAGTGAGACACCACACATCAAAAACACTAAAATTACCCTCTTTTGAAACACTGTTCTTCACATTAGGTCTCTCTGCAGGTCTTGCACTACCTGAATCCACACCATTCATCTCGGTTTCATCATCCACCGACATTATGTATTCGATATTCTTTTCGACAAACTCTAGCTTCTTTTGCATTTCACCAAACTTGTTCTCCCACTTTTCAATCACTTCCTTCCTCTCCAATGCTTCTCTTTGCTTATTCACCAGATCATCTACAGTGAATCCATGAGTTGTCTCTAGAAACTCAAGCGTTTTAATTAGGCCCTCATGCTCTATCATCAGACTCTCATACTTCTCTTTCAAAATCTTGTGTTCAGCAAATGAAACATTTTCTGACGATTTGTTGTATTTCTTCTCCGATTGGTCCATTTTTGTCTTTAATCACTTTAAGCTTAACCTAGATTAAAAAACAAAACAAAAAAAAAATCAGGAAACCTCTCCTTAAAAATAGAAACTTTGAAATCGACAAAACCCTAAAACTCAGATCTTTATTGAGAGCAACCAAAAACAACTAAAATTTTAGAAACATTTCACAAGATTCGGTGTTTCTCAAACGGATTCGTAACATTTTGTCCTAAACCCTAAACCGGAAACAAAAGAAACAGAGAAAAAAAAAGGAAATTTTCTCTAGAAAATCTTACTCGGAAAATAAAAATGTCTATCTTTTTCTCAGTTAGAACGAAAGAAGCTCGTTTCGATGATAGAGACTACACGACAAAGATGGAATCGTATCAATGGAACCCTAGAATCAGAGAGCGGGAAAATGCGAAACGAGTGTTAATAACGAAGAAGATGATACTTTTTATTTTAATTTTTGTTATTTCAAAAAATAATATTCAAGTTTTAATCTCCACCACTCATTTATCCAAGCGGCCCAAGCCCATTTTCACAGTTGTTGATACACACACACTTGTTGTCTCCTTTAACTTTAGTGATTGTTTTTTGTAGAAAGCTTTGAGGGCAATACTGGAGTTAATAATCTCTCTCTTGTTGAAGCACTCTATGATTGCAGAAGTAGAGTGCACTAGGATCTAAAATGGGTACAAAGTTAAAAACATCATTTTTGAGGCCAAGAAAATATGAAAAGGACCTTGAACCTCCCAGTCCTAGCTCTAGTCATCTCTATCTTCCAAGAGAAATAATCTCATCTTCAGATGCCTCTAAAGAACACAGCTTAATAGATTCAATCAATAGCATAAACAAGCTTGTCATCAGAACTATTTTATAGAACAATCTGACAGTAGATTAAGGATGGAAGCTGCTTCTCTTACAACTTGTGTTTGGCTAAATTACTTACACAGTTACACTACAAACTTTCATGTCTTATTAACCCTCCAAACTCCAAGCCAAAAACAAGACCAAATGCATCAGAGACTCATAGTCATCTTCATCTACAACAACAAGAACTACTAACTTAATTTGAAACTTCCAGTTTCACAACCATATCTGACATTGTGCTTCTCCATCTCCTCAAATGAATCAGGTCTTGATCACAATTTGAAGGAATACTCTATATTCTTATGTGATGAGTTACTGTTTCCTATATTGCTTTCACTTTGGTCTCCTTCATCGTCGTCACTAATCTCTATCACATCTGCACATAGAACATGTTTAGTTTATCTAAAGCTAACAAACATTTAGTAGGACACATATCAAAAACACTTAGAATTACCCTCTTTTGATGCAAACTTGCTCAGATTACGTTTCTTCTCTGCATCTCTTGCACTGCTTGGTCCTGAACTCATACCGTTCACCTCGGTTTCTCCACGAGACTTTAAGTATTCGATATCCTTATCAAGCATCTCTTGCATCTTCTTTATTTCAGCAATCTCGTTGTCAAACTTTTCAATCTCTTCCTTCCCAACCAATGATTCTCTCTCCTTCTTCTTCACTAGATCCTCTACTGTGATTTGGTGCGTTTTCTCTATAAGCTCGAGTGTTTTGATTAGGGTTTCATGTTCTTTCACCAGATTCTCGTGCTCTGTCACCAAACTCTCATATTTCCCTTTCAAAATCTCGTGTTGAGCTAAGGGAACATTATCGGAAATTTTGTTGTTGTTCTCCGATTGGTCCCCAAGACTAGACATTGAAGTTCACGCTTAGCCTGTACTAACACAAAATCACAAAGATTTTCTGGGAAATTACTCGTCAATTAGAAATTCTACAAAAACCCTAAAGCCCAAATCTTCACTGAGCTACCGAAACTAAAATGTGATGAAACATTCAAAAGATTAAAACTTTCTTAAACATTATTCCTAGCATTTTCTCCCAAATGCAAACCAGAAACAAAAGAAAACAGAGAAAAGGGATTTTCCCGAGAAAATCTTACTCGGAAAGTAAAATTGTTGATCTTTTCTCAATTACAGAGAAAGAAGCTAGGGTCGATGAGAGAGATTATGCAGAGAAGGTCGAATCGTAACAATGGAACCCAGAGGAATGAGCCCTAGAGCACAGAGAGCGGGAAATGACGATATGCGAAAGTAGTGTGATTAGTAAACGAAGAAGATGATGATACTTAATTAATTATCAAAAATTAATATTTAGTTTAGTCCCAAGTCCTAACCAATCATTCGCCAAGCGGCCCAAGCCCATTATAACTCTACACAAATTATTACTCTACTTTTTTTGGCCTTTCCTTGTTTTCTACTCTTTCCATGTTTAATTAATTACACACTTCTGGTCTCCTAATTAGGTGATCCTTCAATTCATATGAAGGGATTTAAATGTATTTATATGAGATAATATTGATCATAAATGTCTGAAGAAAATGTACAAGTTTGGGAAAAAGATGTATAACAACTATTTAAACTGAAAACTATGCATCAATGATCGTTAAAACAATTTCTTACAAATCTTATAAATTTGTTTAATTAACTAACTAAGGCTTTGCTTGTTTTTTTTTTTTGTGTGTGTATCTATTAAATATAAGAAAGATAGTAATAAGATCAAAATGACGACACAAGCCATGAAGTGATGTTATTTTAAAACAGTTTTTGAAGGAATTGAAACAAACATTCTGTCATAAGTCATAACTCTCCAGTCATGTGAATTGTGATATAATCAGATTATTAGATTAATACGTCTTTATTTATTATTTTACTGTATGGTTCTTTTTAAGAAATGGTCGAATGATTTATATCATATAATAAAGAAAAGTCCCCAGAGCTAGAGCTTTGGTCGGTCGAATAACCAAAAACAAGTGTGCATATCTTCTTCAGATGAAGCTGAAGTTGTCATCAATCTCCATGAATCATAAAAATGTGCTTCTCATCAAGCTCATCTCCGCTATTCTGATCACATTTTTCGCTTTCCGTCTCTTCATTCTCCACTCCAGCGAGTTTTCTCCAATCTTTGCGTCGGTCACTGGAAAATTCGAAGCTCGGTTTTTGCCGCCGGAGGTTATTGTGCCGGAAAATGAAGATCTGATTCCTCAGGGTAAGATCAGTTAGTTAGAAAGCAAAAGTATTTGACTTTCATGTGAATTGTCCACTGTGTTTGACTGTTTGTGTCTAAGACTAAACCTTGTTTAGTGAGCACAATTATGACTTATGAGATCTATGGGTTTTGGATCTGCAAGATTTAACGGGTTTTTGAGATTGTGGATCTTGGTTGTCTCATTGGAAAGTTAACTCTAATGGTTTGATTCTTTTACCATTCACAGCTTCTTTTGGTGACTTGTATCATTTGATAGCGTGATGTTAATTAGCTGCGATGTTCAAAGACTGGTTTCTAATAAATTGATCTTGATTAGTGTTACAACATTTTGTATCAAAGTTGATTTCACATTGGGACTTAAAAACAAGTTTTTTTTTTGGTTGTTGTTGTTTCTTGAATCAGATATTGAAGTAGAGAAGTGTGATCTTTTCGCTGGAAAATGGATCCCAGATTCAGTAGGACCAATCTACACAAACAACTCATGCGGATCGCTCATTGATGGTCACCAAAATTGTATCACCAATGGCCGGCCTGACTTAGATTTTCTCTACTGGAAATGGAAGCCTCATGATTGTTTGTTACCACGTTTTGACCCTCGAAGATTTCTTCAACTTATGAGGAATAAATCTTGGGCATTGATTGGTGACTCCATATCGCGAAACCACGTCGAGTCACTGCTTTGTATGCTCTCTACGGTATAATGCTGCTTGCTTTTAACAGCTCTTTTTACTTTTCAAGTTCTTTAAAACTCTTTTTTTGGGGTCTCTCCAGGTTGAAGAACCTGTTGAAGTATACCACGACAAGGAGTACAAATCGAAACGTTGGCATTTCCCTTTACATAACCTTACTATATCCAACATTTGGTCACCATTTCTTGTTCAAGCCGCTATTTTCGAAGATTCAAACGGTGTCTCGACCGCTTCTGTTCAGCTACATCTGGATAGACTCGATGAGACATGGACCAATCTTATGCCTAGCCTCGACTATGCGATTATCTCAACAGGTAAATGGTTTCTTAAATCCGCGATTTACCATGAAAATGGAAAATCCGTCGGTTGCCATAACTGCCAGGAAAAACCTCACATAATAGAGTTAGGATTTGACTATGCTTATAATGCATCGCTGCGGAATGTCATGGACTTCCTAGCTGGGGAAGATAATAGTAAAGGCACGGTTTTTTTCCGGACGTCGACTCCCGATCATTTCCAAAACGGGGAATGGCATAGCGGCGGGACGTGTAAGCAAACAGAGCCGGTGAGCGATGAGGAGATTGAGATTAAGGATGTACATAAGATACTAAAAGACATTGAGATTGGTCAGTTCAAGAGGGCGGTTAGAGAGAAGAGTGGCCAGGATGGTGGGAATCTAAAGCTTTTGGATTTCACCGGGATGTTGCTGACCCGACCGGACGGTCATCCGGGTGCATACAGACAGTTCAGGCCGTTTGATAAAGACAAAAATGCTAAGGTACAGAATGATTGTCTGCATTGGTGCTTGCCTGGTCCGTTTGATTACTTGAATGATGTTATATTGGAGACCATAGTAAATGGCTGAACCGGACCACCAAAATGTGATTGGTACATCGCCAATCGATCAACCCGGAAGAACTGAAAACCGGTTCTCTGGAGTTACATAGTCTAATACGGCGCAAATTTGTGTGAATTGGAAACATGTAAAATTATGTAAGAAAATTTGAGATAATGTGATGTTGATTCTTGGAAGCTAGCCGGTGGAGGAAGCTAAACCGGTTTGGTAATTGAGTTAAAAAAAATTTCCCAGTTTTGTAAAATCATTATTTATCATTTTTTACCTGATTTTGTCCGGTTTGAACTCGGTTTAGATCTCACTGATAAAGTGATAAAAGTTAACAAATTCCTCGAAGAAAAACAAAATCCCTTAAAAAAGGAAAATGAAGAAATATTCTTCCAACTGTTTAAAATTCAAAAAGATTAACAAATTTATCCTCGGACGCCAAAAAAGTATCAAATCCACGAAATAAAGTTTTTGAATTTCGAATTATAAGACCGTTGTGTGTTTCTTTCTATATAACCCCGAAGATATTTTATAGAGGCTCCACCTAAAAATCACAATCCCTAATTTTCGAAATCTTCTTTTCTCTCATTTGCGATTCAGAAATGGCTTCAACCGCAGATCCAGCTCCGACGAAGAAACCAAGGAACAGTAGAAAGGCGTTGAAGCAGAAGAATGAGCTCGTGGAGACGCCACCATCGCCTGTCTCCGCCAAGGGGAAGTCAGCGAAGTCTTTCGAGCAAGATCTGATGGAGATGCAGACGATGTTGGAGAAGATGAAGATCGAGAAGGATAAGACGGAGGAGTTGCTTAAGGAGAAGGACGAGATTCTGAGAAAGAAGGAGGAGGAGCTGGAGACGAGAGATGCTGAGCAGGAGAAGCTTAAGGTGGAGCTGAAGAAGCTTCAGAAGATGAAGGAATTCAAACCTAACATGGTATAATCTCTAGATCTAGCTTCTTTGTTCTCGATTTGGCTGGGTTTTTGTGATTAGATTGGAATTTAGTGATTGATTCATTTGAGATTTTGGTTTGATAGTTGATTTCTAGATCTAGTTTTGGCTTTCGATTTACTTTAGGTTGGAATATATCTGGTTTATGCTGATTCCGCTTGTGTAATTGATCATTTGAGATTTTTGCTTTGATAGTTGATACAAGTTTTGACATAGATTCATAGGTTAGAGAGAAGAATCTAAGTCAGATTCAGGATTGGTTCTCTTTCAGTGTATGATGCGCTTGCTATTGAGGAATTTCCTGGGAAATACTTTGGACACATTTGCTGATATGTTCATTTCAATTGATATAAATTGGTTTTGGTCTATGCATTTTGCAAATTCTGTGTTTGCTATTAGTGGTCTCTGGTTGTTGATTCGAGAGAGTTTTGTGTTTTTGCTCTACAGACTTTTGCTTGTGGTCAGCCATCTCTCACACAGGCTGAGCAAGAAAAGGCGAATAAGAAGAAGAAAAAGGATTGCCCTGAGACAAAGCGACCATCATCATCATACGTTTTGTGGTGTAAAGACCAATGGGCTGAAGTCAAGAAGCAAAACCCTGAGGCTGACTTCAAGGAGACTTCAAACATTCTTGGCACTAAATGGAAGTCTCTTAGTGCAGAAGATAAGAAGCCTTACGAGGAGAGGTACCAGGTTGAGAAGGAAGCTTACCTCCAGGTCATTGCTAAGGAGAAACGCGAGAAGGAGGCCATGAAGCTTCTGGAGGATGACCAGAAGCAGAAAACGGCAATGGAATTGCTTGATCAGTATCTCAACTTTGTCCAGGAAGCTGAACAGGACAACAAGAAGAAGAACAAGTAAATAACCAAACAAACCTTCCATGACTACATCAATTGATCACCAATGGTGTAAACTGACTAGGGCTATTTATGGTTTGCAGGAAGGAGAAGGACCCTCTGAAGCCAAAACATCCTGTATCTGCCTTCCTGGTTTATGCAAATGAGAGGAGAGCTGCTTTACGCGAAGACAACAAGAGCGTCGTGGAGGTATACCTAATTACTCTATTCGCTCTCCAGATCAGTTTTTGTCAAATTTTGAAGCTAACTTATGGCGTTTAAATGTAATAGGTCGCAAAGATAACTGGAGAGGAGTGGAAGAACTTGTCAGACAAAAAAAAGGCACCCTACGAAGAGGTAGGTTTCCATACATATGCTTGCATTTCACTGCCATTAAAGACTTAAGAGTGAATGAATTGAGGTATAATATTTAACAGGTGGCAAAGAAGAACAAGGAGACATACCTGCAAGCAATGGAGGAATACAAGAGGACGAAGGAAGAAGAAGCCCTGAGTCAGAAGAAAGAAGAGGAGGAACTCTTGAAACTCCACAAACAAGAAGCTCTTCAGTTGCTCAAGAAGAAGGAGAAAACTGATAATCTGATTAAGGTAACTCTCACTCATACTTCACTCACCAAAGTCCATTACAATTCAGAGCCAAACTAACATTATCATAATAATTGTCTCTTGCAGAAGGAGAAAGCGACCAAGAAGAAGAAGAACGAAAACGTTGATCCTAACAAACCCAAGAAGCCTGCTTCTTCATACTTTCTCTTCAGGTACGAAGCCCAAGTTTAATCCTAAGCTCAGTATTGGTCTTCATGAAAGTTTCTAGCTTCTAAAAGAAATCATTTTTTGCAGCAAGGACGAAAGGAAGAGATTGACCGAAGAACGTCCCGGGACAAACAACTCTACTGTCACCGCTCTGATTTCAGTGAAATGGAAGGTAACAAAAATCACAATTACGAGTAAATAAAAACATTTGCTTATAATAATTTCATGTTGTTAATTTATCTGAGTGAATAAAATATCTTTGCAGGAATTGAGTGAAGAAGAGAAGCAAGTTTACAACAAAAAGGCCGCAAAACTGATGGAAGCATACAAAAAGGAAGTGGAAGATTACAACAAGAAGTCTGCGGCTACTACCAGTAGCTAGATAAATTCTCTCTTAGTATTGAAAACATGTTCAAGTCCTGTTGAACATTTCTTATTATGCATCGTTAGATTACTCTAAGTACTTTTATGTTTTAACCAAAAAAAAATGGATACAAGTTATCTTTTTAACTCTCGCTGATTACTTTCTATCTATCTCTCTTTTACATTTTATTTGTTTAATAATAAATCGACTCGTTTAAAAACGTGGGGAAAGTTGTGTCAATCTCAACCATTGGATTGAACCAATCAACAACGTCAAAGATCGGAGTAGAACTCTCCACATGGCCGAAGTCGCCGTTGATAGTCCCATAATTATAAAACGGCGGCGTATCAGGGAACGAGAAAACGTCTTTACCATCGTCAAGCCCGTCGGTTCGAACGGTTAAGTTGGATTTAAGACTTTCGAGAAGATCCTTTGGCTTTTGGGTAATTGCTGGTCTAACTCTGGTGTCTTCTTGCTTCTTCTCCGGCGAGGCTGGTGGTGGAGGTGGTGTGATTACCTGCGAACAAGTGTGTGTTCCTCTGTACGTAACTTCGAAAACCGTTGCATCACTGTCCGATCTCTGGACTTGTTTCGTTGCCCAACAGTTTTGTGTGCTACGATGTGTGCATCTGTAATAACTCCTTGGGAATTTGGCGCCTAAAATGTCTTTTTGACCATATTTTCTCCAGCTAAAGACATCATCTTGAGGTCCTTCTAAGCCTCTCTCTGGGCTTATTCTCACTTTTTCTGACCACTTTGGTAACATCTTCCTGCAAAAATTACCCAATTTCCAAATTAGTACATAGAAAGATCAGATTTTTATATTCAATTTGGTGAATTGTGAAAAAAATATAAAATATCATCAATTTGTTACCTTTTCTTTGGATTGAAAATGTAATCTTGGCGATGGTGACTCTCGCTAGAACCTCCTCCATCTGCAAACTCTTCACTCCTCGGACTTCCGTTAATCGATGCCGGAGATTCTGGAACACTGCCGGAATTCGCCACCGGGACTACAGTAGCCGGCGTTGGAATAAGTTGTACGGTCGGTGAGGATGACCAGTTTAGTAGAAGAAGAAATCTCTCGTAGGAAGAAACTATCTGTTTCACCAGAATCTCATTAGTCTCAGCCACAGCCGTCGCCGGAGATAAAAATGATGATGATGGCGACGGAGCTTCTCCGATTCGTGCCTGAAGCTTTTTGGCCGCCTCAAATCCATTGATAAGCTCGCTTAGCAATGTCTTTTGCTCCCAACTTAACAAATCTTTACCTTCCATTTTGAGTTAATGATTCCCAAAATAGAATTTTTTCAATTATTTTTTTTTTCTCAAAAACTTTTTAAAAATCTTATTCACCAATGATACCAAAATATGTTGAAAAAGATATATATGTGTGTAAAGTATAATGAATAACGGGTTATATAGATAAGATTGAAGAATGATATGATCAGAAATATAATGTGTGGTATAATCAAGAATAAGTTATATAGATTGAAGAATGATATGATGAGAATGAGAGTGTTATAGGCTTTATGGTAAAATGGATGAGTGTTGGTTTGGAATATAAAGGCATTGGATTTTGAATGTTTGAAAATTTGACCAAATGACCAACCATAAATAATTATTTATTTCTTTTAAAAAAGAGACAAAACTTTCAAAGTGAAGAAAAGTCTTTGGTATAAGGAAGTATAGAGGGCCAGAGTGTAATTGATAAGTGGGGTGGTGGTAGTGAAAGAGTATAAGGTCAAACGCTGACCAATTCAACATTTCATTTTTTGTTAATGTAGTTGTAACCAAGTTAGTCATTTGTTTAATCTATAGTGGTTAATTAAATAATTAGACAAAAACGAGTTAAACAACTGTCCCTTTCAATGTACCCTTTCAAAACTACGACTTTGTACATGTGATTGAGATTCTCTTATATGTTTCTTTTTTATTTGATAAAGAATTTCAATTATATGTTGTTTTTGATTAAAAAAAAAATCCAATATATGTTGGTTGATGCTTTACTAGTATGCATTATGCAACAACCGTTCTATGGATGATATTTCAGTTGCTAACTATGAGGTGTAATGATGTTTAATATCGTTAACATTTAACATTAACAATAAGAATATTCCACACATTCTGGTTTATTATATATACTACTACTAGGTAAAACCGTAAAAGTAACAACACAGATTAGATAATATAGTTCTTATTAACGTACACTATTTTAGCTATAACTTTTAAATTTATATTGAGTGAAATCAATTGAAATTTATGAACCAATAATCTTCCTAATTTTGTTTAGCAAAAAAACTAAATAATAATTGTTGTAGATTGAAATATAAATAAATAAATAGTTACTTATATATATGTATGTGAGTGACTAAGTCAAGTTTTTAACTGCATCTAAAGAAGAAATATTAAACTCGAGGGAGAAATATTTCTTATTGTATGAGACAAATGGGATTAATTTGGACAAAAATATTTTTATATAATAAATCATAAGTCATTCTAAAAAAACTGCAATCCTCTCCATCGTCCTAAGTCCCAATTTTTACACTTTCAGAATTCTAAACAATTAAACTTTTACTATTCGACAAAAAAAAAAACAAAAAAAAAACTAAAAAAAAAATTTCCTTGCAACTGTTTCCCCTCTTCACCCCCACCCACGATCTCAATATCTCCTCTATGCCTCTCTTTTTCAGCAATAGAACAACAAAATTATTTCATACAAAAAGCTTACAAATCTCTTTCTTCCTTGCTCTTTCCTACAACTTTTATCATGTAAAAATTTAATAAATTTGATGAAAGTTTTGCTCCGTACGGAGTACAGGATTAATACTAGTATCTTTATAATGATATGTTCCACAAAATAAAAAACCCAGTCATCTACAAAAATTATGTGATAATACACCAAGAGTGTGACAAGGTTTTTGCTGACCAAGTCACCATGGAATGATCTCTCAAATAGTCATATAGGTATGTGAATAAGAAATATTAAATTCAAGAGGGCGAAAATATTTATTTATGGTTGAGACAAAGGGCCATTAATTTGGACAAAATTTATATATACATAATGATTGATATGTTCCAAAGAGAAAAATAGAAAAAAACCAGTCACTGTGTGATACAATACAACAAGAGTATGATAAGGTCTATGCTGACCAAGTCCACCATCAAGCTATCTAAAAAAGAATATAGATAGATATATTCCATTCCAACATTTTCATTTCTTATGATTAATCATTTTTAACTTTATTTGTCATCAAATATTATTCAAATGTATTTGGACCACTTATACGTAAGAAATAACCTTTGTAATTATTGAACCGTTATCCAAAAGTTACAGCAACTTTCTCATAGCTGAAGTTGACATACACGACTACACGAGTGTAGTGTACAGTAATAACTAATAACCACTAAAGGGCTATGAATCAAATTTACATTTTAACTAATGAAATTAGGGAGACTCACAAAAATGCCCCTTTTTTAATACCCCTTTTCAAAAATGCCCCATTTGGATGTCCATTTTTAAAAATACCCCTTTTATGTACAAAATGACTAAATTACCCTTCTTTTAATAAAAGATATCATAAATATATAAGGAAAATATAACAAAATTAGGTCCACAAAATACAAAATATTTTTT